ATAGACCATATTAGGTTGATATTGTCTTCTTCTATTTTTTTCCAATATGTAATCAACCACAGATGTGCTTTCCATCATTGACGTGATATTTGATACAAAGGCGATGAAGAAGATTATTTCATGAGATTGAGATGTCATAATCAAAAAATTATCTTCTGACAGTTGTCATTAACTTATAACTTCGTATTTGTGAATATGTTATACTTTGAATTCGTATTCTTGAAAATTACAATTATTCCTAAGTTTTTCTTCTAGTATTGGTTTTCTATTGCAGTTTGTTGATTGGTTTGTGAGTGCGATTGTGTTATTTTGCAATGTTATCTGAAAACTTCGCACTCCAGGAGGTGGAGGTGTAAAATTATCAAGACCTGGTTTCCCCTATCCTCACTGTTGTGAATTTGAGCCACAAATCCTGAGGCATCAATGAGTTTATGCCATATTCATTGGATTGCAAGGTGCATTTTTTTTCTTGAATCGCATGATATTTGAAACTTGATGCATTGATATTTCAGGAATGGGAGTTTTTGAAGTGAGCAAACATGATACTGTATGTTTCCAACATTTTAAGGGGACTGTTTCTTGCCAATGAAGAATTGGAAACGGTTTTGGAAGGAGGGTTCGGTTCCAAGTTTGTTAAAGGAAGGTATATATAAATAAAATGATATTTAACAAGTTCCTACCTATACAAACTCTTTGTAGCAATCAGCTTATTAGTTTCTAGTTGACTGGAACTATTAGTTTCAGTACAAAAATTATCAAGAGTCATTAAATTTATTTCAGAATGGTACAGATCATTGAAACTGGGGACAAAATAGATATGAAATATTTTTATAGTTTCAGACTCATCGATGTAGTTTGAAATATGATGCTGAAGAGGAACTCCTTCCTTAAGGAACACGACCTAAAGATTAAGAAGCATCTGAGGAGGAAATGGGCATTTGAACAGATATTATAGAATGATAATAAATAATAATGAAGTTTATTCAAAATGATAACATGATATAAATTAAAAAGTTATACATATTGGTATTGAATATTCCTATGGAAATTAAAAAGCTATACATATTGGTATTGAATATTCCTATGGTTCAATTTGTGGCAATTATAGATCTTCCCATATTCAGTGAAGTTAGTGGATAAGATGATTTCATAAAAAATAATCATTGTTCAGCAAAACATATATTCCTGATGTGATTCTTCCACATCAATTTGTTTGTATCACTCATAGTTTTTCGTTTTTCAACTGAAAAGCTATTCATGTAGGTACTCTTCGCTGTAGGTAGGTACCTGAAATTTTCAAGTATAGTGATTCCGATGTGTACATAGTTTACATCACTAAAGACATGTTTTCACTGCAAATAACGGAATTCCATGAATTATATAGTAACTTATCAAAAATATAGAAGAAAATAAGTAGCCCCTACCTTTCTGCTTGGCTTGCATGTCGAAAAAGTGTAAAAGCACTGATGAGTTTCCGAAGTTTCCACAGTTCCAACTTAAATTCAAGTTGCATCATAAGTCAACGTGATACAGCATTGCCTAAACATCTCCCTGCTTCCATTCAAGTATAGGTAGATGGTTGTCATACTTGATAATATCTTTCGTGATAATGTTTCATTTTCGGGTTTCAACATGACAGATTTTTATTTACAAACTTGACAGGACCATGAAAAATGTTATGGGTTAGGAATAAAATATGAATAACTTAGTTTACTTAGTTCACGTAGATGTCTCTGAACTACATATTTTCTCCAATTGTCTTTTCAATGAACAGACAATATTGTTTTTGTCTATGCTATATTCTTGTTGCAGATGATGAATTTCTTGAATACTGTCTGTAGGTTAATCAAGGAGGTGGTACATTCATTATTCCAAATTTTTTGGGATTTTCTCTTCTCGTTTCTATAAAATAAAAATAGGAATATTATTTCAATATACGTGTAGTAAGAGAAAATCCCAAAAAATTTGGAATAATGATGAATTTCTCATTCAATACTACTAATACCAAACAATAAATAAAAACAGCTGATAAACTGACATCTGTCAAGCATCAAAAATAAACCGTTAGGTCATAATAAAGTTACCGTGACGTCATCATAAAGATGACCTGGTTTGTCTGGTTAGGTTCGAGGAAAAATGACTTTGATACAGATCTATTTCACAGGACGCCGATTCAAGTGGTGTAGGAGGATTTAAAGAAGAATCATTTATATGGATTCTGAATTTATCAGACACTGAATGATCTATAGTAGGCTTTGGATTTTGAAAATAGTGGACGCCGCTTAGCTCCAGAATACACCTTTCCTTTCAACACAATAAAAAAATTTCGTGAAAATCGCACCATAATTAGAAAAATTATAAGAGTGACTCGCTTTCAAATGGGTTACTCTGTATATTCGATTCTTTTCCATCAAAATATTGCGTCTGCCGCACTCAAATGGCGGCACTTGTGACAACCTGATGAAACAAATCTCCCGCTAATTCTGAAATATGGCAGCATTTCATTGTACGGAAATCATATTATGTGGCTCTTATGGTGTATTTATTTTGTAAAGTATTTGATGATTTTGACTTATGATGGTATATAATACCACTGGTATTGTTCTAGATGAGTTTATTCAAGTGTATAAACATCTCACATGGCTTATTAGTCTCTTGAACTTGATGAAAGGAACGCTGATAAGCAATGGCGTAGTGATGACATATTGCTTAGCAACAGATTTTAATAGGCATAACGGAATAATAAAAACGATAATGGGCCTTTCCAGTCATTTCTAGAGAAAATATTTTATATGGCTCTGGAATACCTTATACCTTATTATTGATCATATTTTGAGATTTTTTTGTATCAATTCATCGTATGAAACATTATTGAAAACGCCAAAAGGAACGAGCGAATTCAAAAGATCAGACATGGCCAGGGAACATGTGACGTCAGTGCGCGAGCGATTTGGATTGGTAATTCCCGACCTTCTTGCGGGTGCCAATAAAATGCACGATGGACTTGACAATGTTGTCAATTTGGACAGAAAGCTATGAATAGTCGGATATTCATTCCTCGAAAAATCTGCATTGCATGACTAGTTAGTTGGTCGATTTCTGTTAGAGAATTACTCAAAATTCTAAGTGAAGTTTCATCCAGTGACTCCAGTGACAATTCTCGCACGATATGGTAGTTCAGTATCATTATCATCAACCAGTATGAAATTGTCACCAAAAGTTTTGGGCAACTGGAACGACAACTTCCCTAACACAATGAATGTCTTTTGATACCGAAGAGTATTCATACTCTCTCTCGAAATAACCAACGTGGGGCAACGATTCATCATTATACCGCCCCATGTCAATTTTATATACTTATCATTTTTTCATTATAAATATTGTGTTAATTATAATTATCAACGGTATTTTTTTCGTAATATTTCAATTTATTTCTACATCCCCTTTATTCGAAAATGTAAAATCCTGTTGAGTTTATGGTGGTTGAACATATCAGAATGCAATATGTTGTGAAAAATTCCATACATTCAAACATCCTGTATGAATCCTCTTGAATCCAAAACCATCTCGAGAAAACCCATTGTTCTTCATTTTATCGAAATCGAACAAAAAAACCTAACCTCCTTGCTAGGGTATAGGTAGAACATAGCAAAATGAGTTGGGTTTGCTCAGTAAAAAATTTCGTAACACCATCCGTTTTCAAGATACAAGGTGTTGAAAAAATATTTTTTTACACATTTTTTACGATTATGTCGACACACCGCATGAATTTGTTTTTATATCTGACTTGGCTATAGTTACAGGGTTCGTACCGAGTACTTTTGAACATAACTTTTTTGAGGTTAGATTTTTCAATCCAAATTCGATGTGAACTTGAACACCATTCAATTCTATACCAAAATGATGCTCTTGATAAAACTCGATACTGTGTACCGTTTTCAAAATATTTCGATTTGAAAATGCTGAAGCAATAACTCTGATTCTGGTATTAGAATGAAAGTATTATAAAAAACAATTATCTATTTATTGAGGACCAAAAACATTTACATTATTTTACTGCTGAAGTTATCGATTAAACAAAATCACATCAGAAAATATTTAATTGAATTTGACTAAAAACATCATTTAGTTAGAGTAAAGTGTCCAAAATGTCCTCCGTTTTCACGAATACACAATTCGATCCTTTTTTCTAAAGAATTCACCAATCTTCCCAACGGTTGAGGATCAGCTATGAGATAAATAATCGAAGTGATGTTCAATTCTTTCTTGCAGCTCTTAACGTGGTTATTAATAAATAAGTAACAGTCTTTTATAATACTTACTTTCAACTAGCGTCAGAGTTATACTTTTTCAAATCGAAATATCCCGAAAACGGTACACATCATCAAGTTTAACCAAAACCACCTTTTTAGTGTAAAATTGAATGATGTTCAAGTTCACATTGAATTTGGACTGAAAAATCAAACCTCAAAAACGTTATGTTCAAAAGTACTCGGTACGAACCGTGTAACTAGCGCCCTCTATGAGTGTTAGATATAAAAACAAATTCATGCGATCTGTCAGCTTTCAAAACACATTCATACAAAATTTCATCACAATGTTGCCAGTAGTTTCAACATAATCGTAAAAAATGTGTGAAAAAAATTTTTTTTCAACACCTTGTATCTTGAAAACGGATGGTGTTACGAAATTTTTTACTGAGCAAACCCAACTTATTTTGCTATGTTCTACCTACCCTAGCAAGGAGGTTAGGTTTTTTTGAAACACCCTGTATAAGTAAATATCTATTATTCACCTTGGTCGGTTTCCCTCTCCCCACCCTCTGCTTCGCCATTGATAATCGTAACAAAATAACGAATTTTTTTATCTTGTCACTTATTTTTTTAGTGATTATTACATTTTTGTTTCGTAGATAATTCGGTGAGCTTGATAATCTCCTTTTCGGTGCAAATAAATGACAAACGAAATAAATTTCATTTAAATGTCTAGGTATACCCACTTATCTGTTCAGCATAGTTCAGGTACTCGAAACAAGTGAATGTCAAGTTATCAGTACCCTGCTGAAATTAGGTTTTTACGCAAACATGATTCGTTGCCGCCGGTATTTGATTTGCTTCCTTTGCTTGTTTTTCACATCAGAGGGGTGAGTTGATTTTTAGAAAATTCGAAGAAGTCAGTTTTGAAAAATTGAAGTGTGAGAGAAATAATTGTACACTCACCGGCATAAAAAACTGACAGCCAAAAATGTTTTTTCTAGTACTGCTATGAAAACTATTGCATTTCTCATAGCAAACTTAGTTTCAAAACCATGTATTGCTCAGACTGTGAGAAATATTTTTTCCTACAACCACCTATGAAAACATCACAAAACACATTGATTTGATATTGAGAAAGTGACTCGTTTCACTATCACAACATATAACAGTTAAAAAGTTCGAAAGCAAACCTCACATGGGTGGAAATATTCGAAAATCGCACAGTAATAGGGTCTATAGATTATGATGTACCAATAAATGATTATTATGCTGAATTATGATAAGTTAAGTTATGGTCAAGTTAATGGGAAGTTAGTGTCGATTTAACATGAGTTATTGTCATTAATGTTGACGTAATGTTGAGTTGATGAGAAGTTGAAATCAAGTTAATTTCAATTGAAAGTTGAATTGATGTCAATGTATTGACAATTTAGTGATTGATGTAAAGTTAATGTCAATTTGATATGGAGTTGATGTTAATTTGATTTTAAGGTGATGTCAAAATAATTTTGAGTTAATGTTGATTTAATGTTGAGTTAATGTTGAATAATTATTGAGTTAATGTCGAGTTGATGTTGAGTCAAAGTCAAGTCAAAAGTTGATGTTAAGTTGATGTTGAGTTAATATCAAGTTTATATTGATTTGATGTTGAGTTAACGTCAAACTAATGATATCATTCAAATATTGAGGTGAAATCAAATGATGATGATAATGACATCACCTTCATGTGATCGAATATGATTAGAAACATATGATCCCTACTCTGGTCTCATAAACACTCATGACATATAATATAAATATTTGTGGTCGTAGGAAAAATAGTGTACAAAACTCGTTGGAAAGTGCATTTCCTGTGCTCGTTTCGTTTCCGCACTCGCCACTTTCACACTAGTTATGTAATATACTATTTCTCACGGCACTCTATCACTCTATGGAGAATCAACAAATATCGACCAAAACTTGGCTGCTGTTCAGCTTTGAATAGTTGTCACAACTGTCAGAAGAAGTTTTTTCAATTCTATAGGATAGTTTTCATTAGTGCTTTTGATACTAATCGCATTTTTCATCAAATATCATTCCAAAAATTCATAATGAATAATATGATGTATATACCGAGATGTGACAATTTTGATAAATACACCGCCAGAGACGGAGATGGAATCTAAAAAAATACAAAAAGGAGAGGCGTCTAAACTTTAGTCACAATATTCAATGTGGCATAGTGCCACATCATAAAATGAATACCAATATGCTACATTACTCGGATTCTTTGAATAATTGCAGTTGTCGAAAAAGTATAGTGTGCAACATGTGGGGAAAAGCACTTTTCTCACTCGTGTGTTTGCATCACTCGCCCTTCAGGCTCATGCCACAAACTTTCACACTCGTGAGAAAAGTTGAACTTTTCCCACTCGTTGCACAATATACTATTCTAGAGATGATCGCCCTGTAACTTTGTTAATTCTCGTCCGATTTTTGTGAAATTGTGACCAAATCATGAATTTATGTTTCGAAATTTTAACCTGAACTTCAATTTTCGAAGAAAGCTGATGACTTGATCATGCAACAGGGAAAACAAAAGTTACTATTTCACGCCTAACTTCTCGACGCCTTGTGGTAAAAGTGAACATAGCTTCATCATGTTTTGGGTTAAAGTGTGATCCCTTTCCCTTCTCATCACTTTGGTTCGTGATCCACATCAATATCTTTTTTAAAAGAGAATATACAAGTGTTTTAGGAAAATATGGATTTTTAAAATATGCGCTGATACGTATCTGCATTATTTTTATTTATTTTTTTATGTTATGGTTGCCACGAATAGAAATATACTGTAATGTTCAGAGAACATCGTGAGAATCAAGGCAAATGAGGTAGGAATTGGAGTTCTTCTTGAATTTCTGGAGGTTATATGCCTCGGAGAACACCTCCCTAGGCAATGTGTTCCAGAGCCTCTCTGTTAATTGGATGAACGAGTCTTTGGAAAGAGATGTTCTGCAGGTCTTCAAAGTGACCACAAAGGGGTGCGAAGCCTCAACTCGACGGGTTTATCTCGCGGGGACTGCCAAGGGAGGAACAATTGTTGATATTTCAAAAGAGCATCGTCAATAGAAATCTATAGAATAGAGCCAGATCGCAAACTTTTCCACGGTTTTCCAGAGAAGTGAGAGAGTTTGTGAGCGACGCATCACCCACGAGACGAATTGCCCTTTTTTGGACAGTTTCAGGGTATATTGGTGTTTCACTCCAAATATGGGAACATTATTCCAGGACAGGTCGGATCTGTGCCTTATAGATCATAAGCAGCTGACTGGAAGTGAAATAGCTCCTGGCCCGAAACAGAAAACCATTTTTTTGGGATGCAATTTCAGCAATTGATCTCACGTGATTTTCCGAACAAAGGTTATTGCTCATAGTAATACCAAGCATCGAAATGGATGTCGTCAAAGCTATGGTTACTCCAGACAAGCTTATGTTGAGCACAGTGAGATCGGCTTTTCTAGAGGAAAGGCATGCTTGTGTTTTGTTTGCATTGAACTCTACCAAGTTATTGAATTTCCATTCGAGAATTGTTGCCAAGTCCATATTCATGTTGTCAACATTTCTTCCTCGTCCGTTTCTGATTTGCCTGGTTGGAGCCCTGGAAGGGAAGGCGGTATGGAGAGTACTGTCATCCGCGAAGCTGTGTACTGGATATGAAGTTGCTTCCAACAAATCGTTGATATGGAGTAGAAATAGTGTTGGTGCTAGAATTGATCCTTGCGGAACACCAGCATTTATAATACGAGAGTCAGCTGGAACTCCGTCGACCACAACATGGAGAGACCTGTTTTTGAAAGAAAACTAGCTAGCAGAGAACATAGCTGGGGAGGCAAGCCATAAGATGAAAGCTTGGCGAGAAGTCCGTTGTGCCAGACTCGATCGAATGCCTTAGAGATATCAAATGTCACGGCAAAGGTTTCACAATATTTTTCAATAGATTGCTGCCATATACAGTGTGTTACAATTTGCTCCACCCCACCCCTGTATTTCCTTATTCCTTGGGCGATTCGGAATTTTTCTTTCCTCATATTATACTCCCCAAAATTATCTACTTCTGTCGAGAAAAAAAAATTTTCAAACACAATTTCTTGGCCTACTGCGATCACAAAAACTAGAGCAAAATTGAAGAAAACAGATTAGGCATTTTTTTACAAAAATTTCGATAATGGCAATCAATTCGGACTAGTCACAAAAACTCCTACATCAATTTTCAAAACAATATCTCATACGGGGTGTTTTTTATTGAGGTTACAATTTTTCAATAATTGCATTTTTCAAGTCACCGTGTATAATGATCTTATAAGAATTTGAATGATACCAGGCATGATGGTAGTCAGGATCAGATCATCTGGCTACAGAATGAGATAAATAACGATTAAAACCATCAGAAATTCAGATTTTGTATCAAGAAATTTGAAGAAAAAACTAAAAAAACGTATGAAAAAATAACTTCAAAAAATTATCCAACGAACAAAACAGCAATTATTCAATTCTCATCAGTCCTTCTGCAAACTGTTATCATTCTTTATCGCAATAACACTTCTCTATCTCTAGGCATGAATTTGTAAAAATAATTAAAAGGAGAAATGTTGTTACTGTTTAATTCTGATGAATCCTACTGATTGAAAATTATGTGAAAAGCTGGCCATGAATTACGCTTCGCTTTTCTCAAACAACTTTGACAGCTAGTATTGTGAAATCTTGCAAATTCCTTCACACACTTGAAGAAGGTCATACTGAAAGAATAATGGAGTTTTGTTTGTGGTCTCAAGGACATTTTATGAATGATAAAAATTTCCTAAAGAATATTTTATTCACAGATGAAGCGACATTCACGACAAATGGAATATTTTCTTCACAGAACTCGAGATATTGGGCATCCTAACTGGGTTGTTAATTGTAAGAGACAATATTCCGAAAAACTTAATGTCTGGTGTGGAATTTTGAACAATATGATCATTGGACCTTTCTTCTTCGATGGTACGATGAATGCTGACAATTTCCGCCATTTCCTAGAAAATCAGCTATTGGGATAGTCTTGAAGAACTTCCAATAAATATACGAAAAGATATTATTTTTCAACTGGATGGTTCTCCGATCCATAACGCCATCACTGTGCGAGCATGATTGAATCGAAAATTTCCTTTGAAATGGATTGGTCGTAATAGTTCATTAATGCACTGGCCTCCCCGTTCACCGGACTTAACCCCTCTTGATTTTTACTTCTGGGAAAAAGTGAAAGAAAAGGTTTACAAATTCAGGCCAACCAATAGAGAAGAGTTGCGACAAAGGATAATAACAGTTTGTAGAGAGATACAACCAGAAGAATTGATGAGAGTTGTAAATAACGTGAGAAAAAGATATGAAAAATGTATAGAGAATGAAGGAGATTTGATAGAGAATAGACACATCTAAACTTGTTGATATAATTGATGTTTTGTTCGTTGTATAATTTTTTGATATTATTTTTTGATATGTTTTATTTAGTTTTTTCTTTAAATTTCTTGATAAAAAATCAGAATTTCTAATGGTTTTATTCCTTATTTATCTCACTCTGTAGCCAGATGATCTGATCCTGACTACCATCATGCCTGGTATCATTCAAATTCTTATAAGATCATTATACACGGTGACTTGAAAAATGCAATTATTGAAAAATTGTAACCTTGATAAAAAACACCCCTTATGAGATATTGTTTAGAAAATTGATATAGGAGTATTTGTGACTAGTCCGAATCGATTGCCATTATCGAAATTTTTGTAAAAAAATGCCTAATCTGTTTTCTTCAATTTTGCTCGACAGAAGTAGATAATTTTGGGGAGTACAATATGAGAAAAAAAAATTCCGAATCGCCCATGGAATAAGGGAATACAGGGGTGGGGTGGAGCAAATTGTAACACACTGTATGTGACACGTGAGCAAGCAGGTTACCAGTTGATCTCTGATGACGGAAGCCATATTGCCTATCGTTGATAATACCTGAATGTTCCAGGTCTTGCGCCAGATGGGACAATAATTTGTAGACATCTGTGGTAGGGTTGGGGCAATTCGCTGATATCTGTCTAGGTGGCCGAGGTCTGGTCAACGAGGCTCTGGCTACCTAATCCAAGCTATGGGAACCCGGGTATGGTGTCGCTAACGGGGCCTCTGGAAAACAGGGCGACATCTCAGAGTAAACAGCCTTAGCACTGTACAGGGGGCACCATAGGGCTGGACCAATCCCTTCCTCCGTTACTCGTAGGAGAAGGAAACGTTTTGGCCTCTTTCGTAGACGAGAAGAAGGATCGGTAGAGTAATCTTCAAGAACCTGAACGAAAAAGGTCGTTCATATTGCAGTGGCCCTCAACAAGCACCATGAGTCGTATATAGTGAAATTGATAACGGCATGTAGGTGAGATCTAATGGGCACTAGGCCTGATTGTCGTCGGAGACATCGGTAAGAACAAACCTACAAATGGGGGATTAGACCCATATGATATCCATTATAGGTAGATTTCAATCACCTCGACGGAAGAGAACATTTTTACCAGATACCTACGGAACTACCAATCTGATTTCAATCCAATTGATTTTTCAGAGATCGAGTTCTTTTATATCTTACTCTTCCCTTCATCTCAAAATTCGATTAATTAGGTAAAGATTCTATAACCCCTGGTTTGGAGAAAAAAAAAGATGATTTTGAGTTAGGCTTGGAAAAATCGATATATCTGTATATAATTTCAAAACTGTCGATATATCGATAACTATTGATATACCGTTTTTCATCGATAAATCGATGTATCGCACATTGATGAAATAAACCTCTGGTGCGCTCACTCTTCATTTGTTTCGTCAGACTGGTTCTTGATATAAACAATTGAATTTCAGACGATGACGTGGGGTTCACATATCGAATGTTAGATGGCGTGATTCTTAGAACTTATGATCAACATCAGTTCTACCAACCTTGACGCGGCTAAATCGCAAAATTTATTCCCCTATCTTCATTGGTCACAATTCGGTCACACTTGTCACATTGATGCCTGTAATTTCGAAACGGCACCAGACTAAATTTAGCGACATTAACCCACGCCATGTTATGTTCATCGAAGTAGGCGAAAATCAAGGAATTGTAAAACAGGAAAGGATTGAAGTGCGTACACCAGAGGTTTATTTCATCAATTATCGCACTTATCAATATGTTTTGACTTATTGGGTTGTTTCAGAACGATTAGTGCAGCAGTAGAACAAAACTTTACCTTCGACAAATCCGTACTTTTCGGTGTGGCGACGGCAGCCTACCAAATCGAAGGCTCCTGGAACGAATCTGGAAAAGGCGTCAATGTATGGGACTACTACACCCATGACACTAATCTAGTATCGGACGGTAGTACAGGGGACATCGCTTGTGATTCCTATAACCAGTATAAAGTGAGTTGTAGTCATCATTTCTAACTCTGAAAGAACTTATAAACTGGTTATTTCTCTTCTAAGGAAGACGTGCAACTCTTGAAGAAGTTGGGGGTTGATGTGTACAGGTTTTCCTTCTCCTGGACTAGGATCCTGCCTACTGGGCAAGTGAACAATATCAACCAGGAAGGGGTTGATTACTACAACAACTACATCAATGAGCTAATAGCAAATGATATCAAACCAATAGTAAGTCGATTAGGTATACTTTGACAAAAGCTGCTTGTGGTAGAGTGGATATCATTTTCGTAGAGATGCTACTTTTTCCACAATATTATTATTATTATCATTGATATAGTATATTGTCAAATTTTGCTGCAATTTGTCTTTAGTGGAATTAATATATAGGAGTTTCCAAAACATTTTGTAAGTCACGAACAGTTGAATATCAGAGCAACTTTCTAGGTGTTACTCTTGACCCGAAGTTATCGTGGGACGTTCATATAAAAACTGTATGCTCCCGGCTAAGCACATGTTGCTATATGATCAGGAATCTTAGAGACACGGTTTCTTTTGACATATTAAAATTACTCTATTTTGGTCATGTGCAATCAGTTCTACAATATGAACTAGTGTTCTGGGGGTCATCTTCACATGCTGATAAGGCTTTCAGTGCACAGAAAAAAATATTGAGAACTATATTCAACGAACATCCTATGTCAACATGTAGATATTTATTTAAAAAATCACAAAAACTAACATTGCCTAGTTTATATATATTTCAAATAATTACATATTATGCTAAATGAAAACAATTTGAAAAAAATGAGGACTTGCACTCGTATGACACACTTATGAAAGATAATATCTATTCTCTACTTCAAATTTGCCAGAATTCACCCAACTATATTGGAGTTAAGTTATACAATTAGTTCAAATGTATATGTGATAGAGAATATACCAGTTGTGATATGTCCTCCAGAAACAAACTCAAACATTTATTAACCGAACATGTTTTTAATAATGTAGAGGAGTTTCTCAATTTTCAAAACTACTTCAATTTTTGTAAATTAAAGTGTATTTCAATATTAATTATAGAGTGTATTTATGCCCCATGTTTTTTTTTGACAAGTCCGATAAATATGCATTTGTTTTTGGTCTGTATTGATTGAATTTATTCGTATGTTTTTGTGATGTATTAACTGATTCTGATTCTGATTCTGACACAAACATAGAATTACATGAAACAGAATAAACTAAAAGTAACTTGCTTATTAAAGGATGTCTTACATACGGAACTTGTTTTTGTCATCGTAATTAGCTCAATTGACAGATTAATGTTGCAGTTAGTGTAATTGAAAGATTTATCTTGCTCAAGTAGGTCAATTGATTGAGATCAATCGTGTGAATATAAATGTAAACTCAAACAAATAAAAATAGTTTCTTGACTCCTGAGAAACATCTAGGAGGGTACTAAGCAGCCAGCCAACTAACACTGTTGCCAAATTCATGATCTTTCATAGACAAACATTCCAGGTGACTATCTACCACTGGGATCACCCTAGGTCTTTGGACCTACTGGGCGGATGGTTCCAACCCAATATGGTCGACTACATGGTCCAGTACGCCGATCTGCTGTTCTCTCTGTACGGGGACAGGGTGAAAACGTGGATAACCCTGAACGAACCCCATTCCATATGCGTGGTTTTGTCTTCGTACATCGCAGGCTTGAACCCCACCTATCCCAAAGGAACTGCGGAATACATGTGTGGACATAACATGTTGAAGGCTCATAGCGAAATTTGGCATCTGTATAAAGACAAATACCGAAGGAAGCAAAAAGGTGAGGTCTGAGGAGTACGCTGAATTGTCCCATTCAAGATGATTCAGATTTTTGTTTTCTAAGTACTTTAGGGTTCCGGCAACAGATGCCCAGCCATAGTTATTGATTTATCATGTCCTAGGTACATCCCTTTTTTGTCCCGCGGTACAAGGATATGATTGGGGCATCCAGGGGATGTCCCGCAGTGGTTGTCCAGTGGACATTCCGCCCGGTACATCCCTAGGTTATCCTTCTCGTGTCCCTTAGATATCTGATATATTCATTCACATCAGAGTAATTGAATTTCATCGAAATATTGAGTTGAATTTCATTGAAAATGTTTGTTCTTCTTTCGGAAAATAATTGCAATGAAAATAAAGAATATAGTCTCGGAACTTTTTAAGAAATGACCATTTTCCGCAAACAGAAATCGTAAATGCATAATGCCCCTCCTTTTTAAACACCCAAGAATGATAATAATTATACCCAAATCCTAACAAAGCTGTATTTATTCAGGTTTCTGTAGTTTAGTCCTGTTTATGAATCTGTTTAGTACATAAATCATTAGAAGGCATATTACCCTATGGAGTAAGGTGCGTGCCTGATAAGCTAACGCATGGTCTTGGGTTCAATCCTTACTCGACCTGAATTTTTTTTCTTTTGTCGAAGGAATGTCCCTGAAATATCTTGGGACGTCCTAGGGATATCCTTTCTTCGTACTTGGTACATCCCAGGGACGTAGCAGAAGGACATCCCTTGGATGCCTTTTTTGTCGGTCAGCGGAATATTGGTTGAAACTCGAAATATATTTGTTACCATGATTATTGTACTTGTCGACAGCTGAAACTTGCGAATAATAACCAAAAAAATCGAATGATATGAGATATATTTTGTTTGTGAAAGTTGTTTTTGAGTCCGATCTCGACGCCTTAATCGAAATCAGCAGATATGATTCAGTTGTTCAGTCGTCCTCTTCCTCGTTTTTTTAAATGTTTTTCCATAACAGTCGAATGATTATGATACCCTGTGATTTATTAATTGTTTGATCATGCAGGTACCCTTGGAATTGCATTGAGTTTACAATCATACTTCCCAGCTACTGACACAGAAGAAGACAGAAAAGCTGTCGACAAAGTCCTGATTACAAGGGTAAAACTATATTTAACAAAAATTATCGATAATTCTAGTTCAGATAGTGATTATTTACTTTGAATGAATCATTTGATCGCAGTTGACGAAAGTATATTATTCAACAAGCATATAATGAGGAGTATCATCCACGCATAATTGACCTGAGTTGATAATAGCTCATTATATGCGAGTAAAATATTATACTTTGTTCACGACTACTATTGTTTTTTATATAAAAATTCATTTTAACAACTGTTTTATCATACTAATTATTTGTCCACGATTATTGTATATTCTCAAGCAAAACGATAGCCATTTTTCACACCAGTGAATAATGGCGGTGAATAACCATTATACATTGGTCTAAAGTTCCTCATATGTTATATCGCGTACCTTAGGAACTCTAGACCAGTGAATTATTCTTATTCATTGGTGTGAAAAATGGCTACCGTTTTGTTTGGGGAAGTACATGTATTATGAATATTTCATACAACAGTTGTGGATAAAACGTATAATGATTGATAGGTGATCATAAATATTTGTTTTTGATTGCCTAATTTCTGAGAATGTTTTCATAAAAAATCGTCGATTCCAATGAAATTTGGTGACTTCGTCAACAGTGATATTGAGTTTTTTAGGTGTAATCAGATTAGAAATGATAATTCCAGTAGCGTCCCAGTGGGTTACCTGTACAATTGAAAATACAATTTCATTGTACCTTGTTACTTTTGTAACTCGCTTAGTGTTTGAGAAAACAATAAAAAATCGATTCGGCTCCTAGTAGTGAAGTAATATATATGTGCTCCCAAGGCAGTCATTGGGATACCTAATACTGCATAAGTATAAGTTATATTCTGAAATTTTGAGATTTAGTCAATCACCAACCGGACTTGATTTTACCATAATAAAAGCTTATATAGGGGGATCATGAAAAACTTAATTCTGTTTATTTTAACATTTTTCAAAAACGAAGCAAGTTAGGACACGTGTTGAGATGTTTTTTTTCTGAAATACGAAGAATTACTTTTGAAATATTTTCGCACTTATTCATACATGTAAAATAAAATGAAATTGATTTTGGAATTTTAATGAAACAATAACTTAATAACTGCTAATCAGTGTTTTGCTTCATACAGATCATTGTATATTTGGGAAATGTGAACATGGTGATTGATTCTATTTCAGTTAATATTGGTCTTACAGAAACTCTCAGAGCAATTTCTGGCGTTCTACTGCTGCCTAAGAAACCATATTTTTCGAAAACTGACGATGATACCCTCAATATATATTTGAAATTAGTATAGAAAGAGCTCTACCTTCAAGTAAAATGAAAAACAGAGTGTTTCATTCAATAAAAAAAACAGTTTATATGTAATTGTTATGTTAACGATGCTTTTTTGCATTTCCTAGTATAGTTTGTCCAAAGTCAATTGAAGCGTCTCGACGCCGGTGGTTTGTGGCATTATTCGTTCCACAAGAAAGAAAGGTAGTAATGTGAAAACCAAAAATAACTGATAAATCGCGCGAGAGCATCGAAAACTGGACACACTGTACAATCATACCAAAGTTTGTCAGAACATGAGAGTAATCGACAGTAATTGAATGTTTCTAAGAGCACCTATCGAAAATTACAGTGGTAGATATTGAGAATCAAAGATACTCCTGGCAACAATGGCAACACTGGCCACCAGTTGAACAACAGCTTTTCTATATGTAATGATGCGATAAACAATCTTTAAACCATGTGTGAAGAAGTCCATACTGCTCAAAGTGGAGTGGTAGTAGTTGAAGAAGGAATAAATCTCTAAGTCATCTCCACGACATAAAATAGGTTAACATGGTTATTATGTTATATTGAACTAAACAAGTCTTGGACTGAAAAATAGTCGAACAAAAATATGAATTGCACATGATACCTACTTAGATTCCAATTTTGCTCTGCTGAAAAAAGAAATACAACCAATCTGTATCTGTATTCCATAATATGTGAAAAAGTGGGAGGAATTCGTAAATACATATTTCACGAATTACAAGAATAATGGGTTAGTTATATATCATAGCTAGAAGTAGAACAAAGTCAGAATCAAATTTCAGAATCAGTCAGCAAACTTGCATGTCATATACCTGAGCTAGGTATGACTGGATTCATGAATCAGAATAACCAACATAATACTTGGAAAGATATCAGATAATCTGTCTCAAAATATCACTGTGTAACTGAATCATTCTAATAAGTCTTTCATGAGTACGACAAGATCAATTCGTCAACACGGTTTTATTCAGGGATAGATAATAAAGATCATTCAGATGATTATCTTGATGATTTCAGGAAAAAAAAACAACGTAAAAACTCATTGAGAATAATTAGAATAATAATATTCGATAATAATTAAATGTTTTGAGTTACTTCAATTATACGTTATGAAGTAACATTGATTTCATTCGATTCTTCAATTCCTGAACATTTTATATAATATTCAGCATTAACATATCATTGTAATATTCAATAGAGGCACAATGGCCCATTGCCGCAACGTGTCTGTGACATTAAGCATTTCTCAGAATAACATCACGAAGGAACAATGTGATATAACATTTATGTTCAAGTTATGTTCTGGTGTATAGTGGAATGTTAACCGATTTAATGTCGTGGAGATGACTTAAAGATTTATTCCTTCTTCAATCTGTATACAATATCAAAACATGTGAATATGAGCATTCCACCCCCTCTTAGTTCGGCTGGTTCGCCCACCCCGTCGTCTACGGCAACTATCCCCCCTCCATGATCGACACCATCGCACGCTACAGCGCCGAGCAAGGCTTCCCGCAATCCCGCCTGCCGAGATTCACGTGGCGCGAACGCTCCCGATTGGCCGGCTCCTACGACTTCATCGGCGTCAACAATTACATCTCGTTTCTGGTGCAGTCGCTCGGCAAGGAGGTCGATAAGACGCCGAGCTATGAGAATGATGGGGGTGCCACTGTGTACGAGGACCCCGATTGGAACAAGAACTATACCCAGAAGATCCAGGTGAGCGACGAATGAATGTACAGAGTGGGTACAGTAACTGAAGGAGTTATCAAAAGTTCGATATACATGTTACGGGTTCGATTTTGGAGAAACCTCGAATGGTACAATTGGAATTTCGATATCTACATTCGTTTCTGATATACAGGGGGAAATTGAAAAATTGCCGATTTCGTTTTTATTTTCGGAGTACTCTATGAAGACAGATATTGAAGAATTTTGAATTTTCATCCATAGAGAATGATGCGTATAATCCATTGGCATCATCAGCAATTTTATACGGGGTGACATCAAAAAGATACTTTTCTAATGGAACACCCCGTATATTTTAGCACAATTGGATAGTCCTGGGCATTCCATTTTCAAATATATATATTGACCTACCTTTTCCTTCGACAACTTCAGAAATATTCGGAAAAATATACTCAATGTGTCACATTTCTCATGGTTGCACCACTGTATCTTCCGTAATAATCATTGAGGTAGGATTTCGACATTCGCAGCTGTGGGAGAGATGCCAACGATACACTCGAGGATCAAGTAGGATCATCTCTAGTGATAACAATGCTCGCCAGCAGCTATGGAATCACTGACATCGCTGGAAAATGCTATAAAGAAGCAGAATATAGGTTGAAAATGATACTCTGTATATATTAACCAAAGTAGAAGAATGAATATAATTGAAAATGTGATTCAATATTCAATATTCTCGAAACGAATATTACTTTCCTTTGTGCAAAGCTGTGAATGCTCATGTTTGATAGTGTTAGAGATTCTTCAGAATAGAGAGGACAGTTGTCTGAGAGAATAATAATGAACATTTATTTGTATTAACATCAGGGGATGACTATTACTTGTGACTAAGATTGAAGAGTTGCTACACCAGTCAATTTATAACCTTACTTTTGTCATGTCATTATTTTTTGTTACAGATATATGCTACAGGTTTCAGAAAAATATTGACGTGGGTTAAGAAGAACTACAAGAATCCGAAAATATTCATCACAGAACAAGGATATGCAAATCAAAATTCTAGTTTGAATGATGAAGATCGTATCTTTTATTTCCAGGTGAGGAAATTATCAATTAATTTCGTTATCACAGAACCCAGATCATTGATCAATTATTCGTTGATTACGTCTGGTTAGATTATGTTTTTTTTTATATCATTATACATTATATTATTCTATTCGATTTGAGAAATAATGTAAATTCTCAATTTCAGAGGATTTTGATTTTTCATGCTCTTTTTTTGAATATTCAACAGATATAATTCAATGTTCGACGTGGCAAATAGCCAGGAAAGTATTTGTTTTCTGTTGAATATTCACTTGTTAGGTTCCTTTATTATCGCTGGAAAAGTTAGGGCAAACTTTGTTCGCTGTCATAATGACAAAATCACACGGCTTGTGGGATTCTTCACACATGAATTAAATTGTCACTGAATTCAAAGTGTTTTTGTAGACTGTCCTGCCTGTTCTTTGGAGAGCTATCAACGAGGATAAAGTGAAAATAGCAGGTTACACAGTTTGGACCCTCATGGATGATTTCGAATGGGTTTCTGGCTACACGTAAGTGGAATATATTGCGCCTAGAGATGTCATTAGATTCAAGTAGTAATAGTAAATATGTTTAAAAATTCATCCAGACAAATCCAAGTGAACACAATGCATGTCATATACGGCGAAAAAGAGTTAATCATATACAGGGTGTCTGAAAAGAACTAGTCGGAAATGAGCCAAAATAATGTTACTACTTCATATAAAAAAAGGTCTATCTCGCTCTGATGCGCAGTTATTGACCTTGAGAGTGTGAAGAATATTCAAACCAAAGGATTGGCTTTATTGAGCAAAATGATAGACATATCAGAATATAACAATATGACAAATGTCACAACTAAAAGTACAGTTTGTTTCATAAACTAGATGAAGATGATTCATCACAGAGAGGTAGAATAAAAAAATCATGTATAGCTTTCAAATGGTTGCCATGATATCAATGACATTCGGGCAGGTAGGTAAATAAAATATAATACTAATGCTCCTTTCCATATTATGTTAACGGCTCTTCAGTGAATATGTTTTATACAGATTCCTTGATTTCTCATCTACAAAAATAGTATATCTTATTTTAATCGACATCTTGTATCGTTCGAGAGAAAATCGTATTTAAAAACATACATTTCCAACCGTTTCAGAGGTAATGAAAGCTCCATTTACCTATTTAATGAGTGAAGGCAACAAGATTACCAAAACTGGGGTTTTCAATATGATTCCAAAGTTGTACTCGAGATAACAATGTGATGATGATCTTTTCTCGCGTTTGTAGATGTAAGAATTCAATTCAAAAGCTCATTTTTTATAGTTACAGGTATTTCCTAGACTAATGATTTGAGATATTCCCAAACGAATTAATCAAGTAGATTAAGATCAGGTGACCGAGGTGGTCATGATAATGGACCATGGAAAAATGTGATGTTCAAATGATCTCTTACAGCTTTGTCAAAATAAGGAGGCGGACCCTCGTGCATCAGCCAAATATCACCTCGAATATCCTAAAGAAGCTCTCCTAACAATGGATCTGGATGGTCTTGCAAAAAAGTTGAATATTCATCAACATTCATAATTCCACTAATGATCTGATATCCATCATTGAGCAGTTGCCAATTAGTCGTATCCCATACATGGATAATAAATAGACTTTTATCTCCTTTGAAAAGGTTGGGATGTATGTTTTCATATGCGATTTTCTCTACATCGGTACTAGATATCGATTGAAATGATGTATACAATTTTTGTGTAAGAATAAGGGATCAAACAGTGAAAAAAAAAAGGTTAAATTTGTCTATCTCTATCAAAAATGTTTGCATTAAACGGAAAAAAATCGTCCCATCCTGTATGAAACATAACCATTGAGAAGCCGTTTATGTATGGAAAGGTGATTTTATCTACCTGCCTGAATAGTATTGATAACATGGCAACCTTCTGGAAGTTATACATGAAATTATTTTTTTAATTCTATAACGTCCAAGGTGAATAACTCCGTGAAGAAGCTCTACCTGCCCTATCATTAACGACGTGAACTTTCCGGACACCCTGTATGTATCAAAATTCGTTTTTCAGGCCCAAGATGGGGTTGTACAGAGTGGACTTCGATGACCCGAAAAGAACGAGGACTCCAAGAGATTCCCTTGGTTTCATGACGGACTTCTACCGTCAGAGAAGTTTGGCAGGATTGCTGTGATAATATGAAATAAGAAAATAAATGAAATATGGAAGTACAAATATAGATCATGAATAAATAATAAACTCGAAGTGACTATCTAATAAGTATGTGTTTCCAAAAACAATCGCCTGCGCAATTTTTTATTTTTTTTTTTCATCGCTTGGAGCGCACGAAAGGATAGGGACAGGAGGTTGGTATTGGAATTTTCCTTGAACTTCTGGAGATTATATGTTGTTGGGAATACTTCCTCAGGCAATGAATTCCAGACCCTAACCGTTCTATGGATGAAGGAGTTTTGATGAAGTGCTTTTCGAAATCTTTCGAGGTTGACAACGAAAGGATGTGCTGACTGGGCTTGTCTAGTTCGTCTGATTGGTATTGCTAGGGAAGGGATGATAGCAGAGATTTCTAAAGAACATTTCCCGTGGAAGTATCGAAAGAAAAGTGAAAGGTCGCCGACCTTTCTACGGTGTTCCAATGATGTCAAAGAGTGAGTGAGTGTGGCGTCACCCACCAGGCGAATGGCTCTTCTCTGGATAGAATCTAAGAGCATCAGCGTATGTTTTGGTGCTGAACCCCATATGTGGAAACAGTATTCTAGAACAGGTCGTATCTGCGCTTTGTAGATCATGAGAAGCTGTTGAGGTGTAAAATAGCTTTTCGCACGGAACAAGAATCCGAGTTTTTGTGAAGCAGCTTTTGCGATGGATCTGACATGATTATCCCATGAAAGAGTGTTGCTGATGGAAATACCGAGCATAGATATGGTGGGCTTGGTGATGATGGTGGAGCCAGACATTATAATATCGGGCATACTGAGTTCCGCCTTTCTAGAGAAAATGCAGGCTTGAGTTTTGGTGGCGTTGAATTCTACTAGGTTGTTTGTTCCCCAGGCTGTGATTTCAGCAAGATCTTCATTGACAGCATTGACCTGCCTGCGCCGTGAGTTCTTAGTTTCCTGGGAAGAAATGGGAATTCTGGAAGAGAACGCAGTATGGAGGGTACTATCATCTGCAAAGCTGTGGATGGGGCAAGTTGTTACTCCCAACAGATCATTGATATGAAGCAGGAATATTGTTGGTGCCAAAATTGATCCTTGTGGAACGCCGGAATTGGTGCCAAAGGTATCAGACGATACACCGTCCACCACCACGTGAAGCGATCTGCCTGAAAGAAAACTCGATAAGAGATGGCATAGCTGAGGTGGTAAGCCGTATGATGGTAGTTTGTGGAGGAGTCCTTCGTGCCAAACACGGTCGAATGCTTTCGAAATGTCCAACGCGACAGCTAGAGATTCCCCGTGTTTTTCTATTGAAGATTGCCATAAATGGGTGACGTAGGCAAGTAGATCTCCAGTAGATCTTCGGTGGCGAAAGCCGTATTGTCTATCATTGATGATTCCTGAGCTCTCCAGATATTTGATAAGCTCAATATTGATGGCTTTCTCCATCACTTTGGAGATTACTGATAACAGGGCAATGGGCCTGTAGTTGTTGGGCAGGTTCTTGTTCCCTTTTTTGGGGATTGGTTGGACTCTAGCTGTCTTCCAGCATGATGGAAAAATACCCGACCTGTACGAGATGGTAAACAACTTGCAGAGAATCGGTGTTAATTCTGGTGCACATTTTTTGAGGATAATGGGTGGAATTCCATCAGGACCGTTAGCCTTATTCGTTTTGAGACCAAGCAAAATTCGTCTGATAGTGCGTTGACGGAAGACGATTTCGGGCATTCGACTCTCAACGGGTGGAATGTCTGGCGGCAGTTTTCCTTGAGAA